CCCGAAAATTATAGTTTTGTTGCCCTGTAGGACATTAACCAGTTTTGTATCTGACCTTGCAGTCTTACTTCAGCATTCCTTTGTGTTCTCTGAGTGCACAAAATCTTTGGTCTCATATCCTCTTCTGAACCATATTTTTCACCCTGCAGATTCCCTCATTAATGCATTACTTCGGTCATTGACACATACTCACCATCTCCCTCTATGGTCCCCACCAATCTACAGCTTGAAATGAACACTAAACACCCATTGTTGATTCTCCGACCCAAGTGGTTCCCCTGGAGCATCCGAATGGCATCAGGAGAACCTAGGGCTGTATATTCTCCACCTTTGCAGAGTGAAAGAAATCTCTGCGATTGTCAAAAATAAGCTAGAACTGTCAAAAGTGTGCAAACTAGATGTGTTACTCCAAGTAATCTCTGCCCCTCCAGCCTCACATTTTAATCATGCCGTGCCTGTGGTCTGGGGCCAGGGGTCTGGCCCTCAGGATGCCTGCTATGGCTACGCCCCGAGTCCCTGCTCAGAGCCTCTGCCCACACACACAGTCACGCACATGACCTACTGCTCCGGGCACAGCTGAATGAACTGTGGCCGTGCACCTGTCCCAAGCAGCAGCCCCCTTCCTGGTTGGTGAGCCAGTAAATGAAGGCTCAGCCCAACCAGAAAGTGACATTCTCTGTCTTGGCAAACTCGACAAGGAGACTTAGAGTGAATATTTGGTAGTAAAAGAGACAGAGATAAAACATGCATTGGAGGCCATGAAGCCACAGGCACTTAAATAAGCAGCAGGAGAGCAGCGGCAGAGACGGAATAGTCTAGTCGTCCCAATGGCTGGGTGTGGAGGCGCGATGGATGGTCCCCGCTGCTGGTGAGCTGGGTTTGATCTTGAAGGACCTCTTGGTTCCTGAGCTATGTCCTGGGCTCTGTCGGGCTCCACACGAGTTCTGCTGCTGCTCTTCCTCCAGTAGGCTGAGCTGTGTGGCTTTTCCTGGGTTGCCATCAGACCCATCATTTGGTCTATGGTCCTTACTTTTTGTTTCTCATCTATTCCGTGTTTCATGTGATCCATATGTTAACCATATGAAATGAGTTTTTCAAATTTAATTTAATTTTTTTAATTGACACATAAAAATTGTATATATTTATGGAGTCCATAGTGATGCTTCGATGCACATAATGTGTAGTGATCACATCAGGGATAGCATATCCATCATCTCAAACGTTTATCATTTCTTTGAGTTGGGAACATTCAATATCCTCCTTCAACAATTCCCTTACTTTCTTACCCACAAGTGGCTTCAAACCCCATGATGCTTAAAGGAACCTAGTAGGTCTCTGCTTCTTCCAATCAGAAAACCTTGACTCACCCTCTCATCTTTTCTAATAACTTAGGAAGTTAAATAATAATAAAAGAATTATTACCTTTTTTTCAGCCAACTCTCTCCAGTATCATCAAGAATTTTCTGTTATAGGAAGGAATAAGTTTCCTTGGTTAGACCTGCCCTTCTGTTTCTCTCCATTCATTTGTTTTATCATTCATTCATTCTCTGAACAAGCCCACCACAGACTCTGAAATGAATAAGGCCACACTCAGGGTTTGAAGCAGCTCATACTCTTGCAAGTGCAGTGTTACAAGAGTGGGGTCGGTGCAGGAGTGAAGTGGAAGGATGGGTCCTGAGACCGGGCCGCTGGAACCCGGAGTGTCAAGGTGGGGCTGGGGGAGGGCACTCCCTCGCTCCATGGCCTGCACTGGCAACTCTTCCTCCTGGCTCTCCCACACACACTGGCTTTCATGCCTCTGGCCTGGAACCCCATGTAACCAAAGCCACATGTTCAACTTGCATTAATTAAATGGCAGCCTCAGCAAAATTTCTAGTGCTGCTCTGATGCTTTTGTGTTAAAATGTCTTTAATGTTTGTTACTGTATTTAACCCTGTGGCTCAGATTCCATTAGTCTGTAAAGTTTAAATGTTGAGAGACTTCTGGTCTTGATTTTTTAAAATAAGAATTATTTTTCTTTTATTCCAGGAGAACATATCTTCTCCTCTCTAGCTTGGACCTAAGAGGCTCTTCAGTCCTGATTTTTCTGGGAGATGACTGTAACCTTAGCTGATTTTAGGAAATGGCATAAGAAAAGGCTATGCTGTAAACTCAAAGTCCTAATCCTCAATTCTCAGCCCCAAACTGCAGAAAAATTAAATTCTCAATCCAGTTTCTAATCGCAAGTGTCCAGGCACCCAGGAAGGCAGGGAGAGGGGGGAAAGGAGGTACCCCCTTATCTAGGGACAGGTATCTCAGGCTGGGCTCAGCTCTCACTCTTCCCCGAGCCCTGTGCTCGTAGGTGAGGCAGGCAGTGCGAGGCCGGCGAGTGTGTGTGGAAGTGAAGCCAATGTGCTCTCTCGGCTGCAGAGCTTTGCAGGGACAAGGGTGCTGCAGCCCTGGCCTGTTTTCCCTCTTTTGCAAGGACCAACACTGGTGCTGGTGATGTAGGTTTGGTCATTTTTATTTTAAGGGGGAGATGTCATAGTGATGAAGAGTCCTGTGACTTTGTGCAAGTCCCCTAAACCGCAGTGTATCTCAGCTTCCTCTTCCGTAACGCAACGCGGACGAGAAGACTGCCTGCTTCCTAAGGTGCCAGCGAGACGGAAGGAGGGCTGCGAAGGACCTGCCTTGCTCCTAGTGGTAACTGTGGGTATAATTTCCTTTGGGGAGGGGCCGAGATTGCCCTTCTGATCCTTGTAACTGTAAATTTGGGCTGGGGCAACTTTCAGACACACACAGGGCACTCCTGGCCATGTGGCCCCAAGGTTTTCCTTGAGGTGCGGCATCTAGGCATTTCCCTGAGGTTTCTGATACCCGGGCAGGGCGGGGCAGAGCGGGGCGGGGTGCGTGCTGACAGCTGTGCTCCCCACCGGGCTGGGTGCACCAAGGAGGGGGATCTAGCTGCACGTCCTGCGGCACCAGAGCTGCAGCGAGCCGGTTCTCCTCGACACACGCGGCAGGCACAGTCCCTTCGGCCCCTGCCTAACTGCTCTGCACATCCAGCTCGGGCGTCCGGGGAGACCGTGCCCTGATTGCAAAGAAGAAACTATGGTTCAGGAGGCATTCTTCTCTGTATTTCTAAGGCCCCTGCTCGGCTGCACAGCAAATGGCACACCCTCAGCATCTCTCTGGCCTCACCCAGACCCTGCTCGTGCTCAGCCTGGGAAAGACTGAATTCGTAGCCTTAGAGGCGCCGTCCTCCCCGCCCTCTGGTTTCCCTTCCTGTGTTACTTCCGCCTGCGTCTCTCTGACAAAGAGCACTGACATTAGTGAGCCAGGTTTGCCTCCTGGACAGCATTTAAGAAATCCAGGTGCCCCTGGTTGTAACACGGAAAAAAACTCTTTGTTTTGGCTGCTCTGCGCTGTCCTGAGTTTCCTTGGCAGGTTGTCCTTCCCTGTCCATGCTCAGAGCTCTGGTGAGGCTGCCGCGCCCAGACCCGGGACTGACCAGGACCCAGGCCTGGCCGATCGACAACACATTCAGGGACAGGTGTGTGGCCCAAGTTAGTCAAATAAGAGTTAGTCCCAGGATTTTTGCTATAACTACTGGGAAAGAGTGTCTGGCTTTCCACGGGGCTTGCTAACCTGGACCCTAAGGCTGCCAGTGGCCATCTTGCCACCCTTTGTGTGAAGAGTGTGAAGCCCCTGGACTTCCAGTTATATGAGCTGATAAAGTTTTTTGGTTTTTTTTTTTTTTGCCTAAATTCATTTGAATTGGAGTTTATATTATATCACTTGCAATTTTTGTTTTGGTAGAGACAGGGTCTCGATATGTTGCTCAGGCTGTTCTCAAACTCTCCACCTCAAGCGAGCCACCATGCCCAGCCTCACTTGCAATTTAAAGAGACCTGATCACCAACTGGCTGAAGTATAAATTGGCTTCTAGCAATCAAAAACCGATGTGTTTCTTCAGATAAAGGAGAACAAAAAAGAGGCAGGGGGAAAGAACAGAAAAACGTAGGCGCAGAGGCTTGGTCTGTAACATTCTGCCTTCTACTTTCCCTCTTTATGAAAACCACACCCCTCCCTCCATCATAACCACGTAATCTGTCTCCACTGTGCTTTAGCAACATGCCCTTGAGAAGGAGACTCTGAGAGACTTGCTCTTGCTGTGCAGGATTTTTAGACCATAGTGAGGTTTTCTCCCCAAGGATCCCTTCCTTGTTTGAATCCCCATTTCCCTCCCAGAGTTTCTCAGCAGCCGCCATGAGGATTAGCCATCTGGATCCCAGCCCACAACTTGGAAAATCATTCTTGGAGCAAGTGCTCCACTTGCAGAAGACTTCAAACCTTCAGGTTGAAGTTGGCTTCAGTGAGACAAGCAACCTCATGCCCTACCTAGGTGCCAGTGAGAATTAGATTTAGCGTTTAATGACCTCCACCCCCAAATGGTTTAAACAAAGATGGAAATCTATTTCCTTCTCATGTAAATGAAGTCTGGACGTAAACCTCATGAAGTTGTCATGAACCAGCATCTTTTTACCATTCGTTCTCACGGTCCTCACCAGTCCTCACCATGTGGCATATGTATTCCCTGCTCCCTTCCCCACTTTCTCTCCTCCCCACGCCCACACACCACTTTCACTTACATCACTGGCTAGGACACAGAGACAGGACCAGCAGGGGAGGCTGGAAAAGGCACTCTTTATTCTGTGTGCCACCTAAATATTGGGGCCCTTCACCAAGGAGGAAAAGTAGAATGGCTACTGGGGGATGCCAGGAGTCTCTGCCACGTCCGGTCACCCAGGATGTGCCACAGCAAAAATCCTCACTGGAATAGCTCCATTGCTGGTGATGCCAAGGAAGGCCACTGGGGAAAAGAATCATTAACTCTAGACACATCGGTAAAAACACCTCCTGTTATAAATGCTGGGAGCACAGCTTGTGACCACCTGGGCAACCTTCCCCACTGTTATCTGTCCCGACCATTCAGACCATCACCACCCTCAGGGAGGAAGGCCTCAAATCCCCTCTCAACTCCTCAGGAACAGCTGGATTACAATGGTATTAGGCTCTCAGAAACATTTAGGAGACTTCCAGGAGCCAGAGATCAGGGAGGGGAGCTGTGTCCCTACTTGATCCCATCTCAGCTGAGATTAGACAATAGCAGCTTTCTTCATGAAAAGCTCAAGTGGGAAGCGTTTCTTGATATGTTTCACTACCAGTCGATATTGAGGATTGGTTTATGAATAAGAGAACTGTGGGATTCCACACAAGGTTGTTTGATCCCAGAGCTCCTTCTGCAGCTCAGGAGAACTGTAACTGGGTTCTCCAAACACCACATTGGCAGGTCATTAACAACCATGTGACAAACTATCTTTAGGGAAGGAACCCAACCTCCCCATCCACTAGTCAACACTTGCAAAGTGCTTAAAGTGCTGGTTGGCACAGCGCGGGGCTCAGGAAATATTAGTGGAATATGGACCTGAGCATTCTTGCTGAGAAAAGCCATCATCATTATTAAGTATTTATTTCTCATCTGCTACGTATAAGGGACCATGCTAAGCATCGTGGAGGGCCTCAGAGATGAAAAAGACCCTGCCCTTGCCCTCAAAGAGTTTGTAATCTAATAGAGAAAATGAGAATTATTTCAAAAGGCTGTTTATTTTCTGTCAATTTCCAAAAACCAAAGCAAAAAATAATCAGGGAAAGAATCTGGGTGTCCTGTTGCCTACATTTACAATTTTGAAGCAGCTGGTTTCTAAATCCCCTAGCTCAGGGGTCCCCAACCTATGGTGAATTGTATAATTATTTCATTATGTATTACAATATAATAATAATAGAAATAAAGTGCATGATAAATGTAATGCACTTGAATCATCCCAAACACTGCCCCAGTTAGTCCATGGAAAAATTTTCCTTCATGAAAACAGTCCTCGGTGCCAAAAAGCTCGGAGACCGCTGCCCCAGCTGACTCCTGGAGGATGGTGAGGATGTGATGCGTTTCACGTGGACCAGCGGGGAGTCATG